TCAGCGTGACTTCTGGTGTCCCTGAGCGAGGAGGAATCACTGCCTCGTGTTAACACAGGGTTGACTCATCCAGTTCATGCCATTCCCTCTGGAAAAAGCCACTTCTGGGGATTGGACCTCGGCAGGATTTGAGGTTGTGCTGGTTTGATCCCCTCGGGTTTGTGGTTCCTGTTTGATCTCTTGTGGTTGAGGGTCAGTTTTGTCACTTGGGGCTTTCGGGGACATGGGGGATGTGGCACCTCTTGGGTGTTTGGTGGGAAGTGGCCTCAAGCTGTGGGGCTGGAGCAGCAGGAGCAGCTGAGGGAGCTGGGGGGGCTCAGCCTGGAGAAAAGGAGGCTCAGGGGGGACCTTCTGGCTCTGCAAGTCCCTGACAGGAGGGGGGAGCCGGGGGGGTTCAGGCTCTGCTCCCAGGGAACAAGGGACAGGAGGAGAGGGAACGGCCTCAGGCTGTGCCAGGGGAGGGTCAGGTTGGATATTGGGGAAATTCCTTCCTGGAAAGGGCTGTCCAGCCCTGGCCCAGTGGTGGAGTCCCCATCCCTGAGGGAATTTAACAGCCCTGTGGATGTGGCACTTGGGGACATGGGGCAGTGGTGGCCCTGGCAGTGAATTCAGTGACCTTGGAGGGCTTTTCCAACCCAAAGGAGACTATGGATCTATCCCATGACCCAAGGACTCAGTGTCCCAACCTCCCCTGAGAGAGGAGGTGGCTCTGTGGGATGGAATTTCTTCCTGGAAAGGGTGTTCAGGCTTTGGCAGGGGCTGCCCAGGGAGGTTTGGAGTCCCCAGCCCTGGAGGTGCCCAAGGCAGGCCTGGCCGTGGCACTCAGTGCTCTGGGCTGGGTGGGATGGTGGGAATGAGGCACAGGGTGGACTTGATGATCCTGGAGGTCTTTTCCAACCTGAATGACTTGGGGATTCTGGGATTTTTAGGACAGGATAGGACTGTGCACAACCCTTGTAGTGGTGCCTCTGTGCTGGAGCCAAGTCGTGCAAGGATGGAGGAGCAAAAACCAGCCCCAGAGTGACTCCAGGAGAGCTTCCCAAACTCCCTGACTCACCCCTGGGTGGGCTGTGAGCTCAACCCACCCCTCTGGCACCCCCCAAACCCTGCCAGCAGTAGCAGAGCTGTGTGTTGGGTTATTTTCTGCCCATGAATTGTCTTTCATCCCACTCCCAGGTCTCTAAATGACTCTGGCACCAGTGGGACAGTGATTTCCACCAAGAATTCCCACCTTTAGCTCTCCCAGATCCCCAGTTCCTCACCCAGCTCTTCCCTTGCTGTCAGAGAAATGCCTGGAGAGGAAAACCAGCATCTTTGTTATCCTGCTGAGAGACAAAGCTGGAGCAAAACAGCTTTGGGAAAGGGCTGCAAAGGTGAGGAAGGGCTCCAGCAGCTCCTCAGCAGCTGGAGAAAAGCTCCTTAAGCTGTCAGGTTTTTAACAACCCCCCAAGGGCTGAACTTCCCTGGTTTTTGCTCTGACAGTTGTTTTGCTTCTTAGTGTCAGAGGGAGCTGCACAAAAGCCTCACCCCAGCGTGGAACAGCCTGGCAGGTCTTCCCAGCTCCCTTGGAAAAGGTTCAGCTGCGGGTTTGGAGCTGTTAAAATTCTGCCTGTGGCGAAGGGTCGGTCACAGCAAGCTGAGAAATTCAAGTTTGTAATTTTAGATGTCCAGGAACATGATAGGGAGGGGTGGGAGCACCTCCCAGGGGTAGTTTGTGGGGTGGGAGGGGAGCTTGGACACCCTCGGGCACCTTCTCCATCCCCTGCCCACTCCCAGCTCCAGGAAGCACTAAAATCACACAAGGCTGGAATTAAAATCCAAGTTTAAAACCCGATTTATAAAGAGAATTGGTGCAGGACGCCGTGGTGATGATTGTTCCATCCCAGGGTTGTTCTAATGTAGAAACGGGATAATCACTCTCTTGTTAGAGGGAAAATGCAGATCTCCTTTTTCTCTCTGGGACCAGTGGCAATTCCCAGCTTTCCTTCCTGGCATTTCCACCCCATTTAGGTGATCAGCGGGTAATTAACGTTTAACTACAGAGGATTTAGCAGCAAACTTCCTTCTGTCATCGAGTGTTGGGGGGAGAAAAAGGGTCGTGATGCCAGGACTCCAAAATATTCCTGCTGAAGGAATTCGTGGCAAAAACATCCCCCTACCTCCTGAGAATCCCAGTGATGAAAACCAGGACACCCAGGCTTTGTAGGGAGATGGGGGGAGACTTTTCCATGCTCAAATCCTGCCAAAGATGGCTGGGATGATCGGGTTTTTGGAGAAATAAAGGATTAATTATTCCCTTTGTAGCACCACAGGTCCTGGCAAAGGCTTTGATGCTGCTGGTTTGCTCCAAATCCAGCTATTTTTCTCACAGAAACGCTGCTTTTCAGGGAACAATTCTCTTTCTCCCCATCCAAATCCCTCTGCCGCTCATCCTGCAACGTTTTTCCCTGCTCATCCTTCCAGAACTCATTATATTCTGCCTTCCTTTGCAATCTGCCTTGCTGAGAGAATTTCCAGGATATCTATTCCCTGCCTCGAGGTGTGAGTTGCTTTGCAGGAGGCTTTTTTTGTGCCTGAAGCTGCCTTCGGTAAAAACAACTCCTTATTTTTTTAATTGGCGTGTGTTTTTTTAGCTGGTGAGGTGTGGAGATGGGCTGGGGCCCGACCTGCAGTGCTGACCCTGCTGACCCCATCCTCTGGGGGAAGAACATTTTCCTGAGATCCAACCTGAGCCTGCCCTGACACAGCTCCAGCCATTCCCTGGCTGCTGTCCCTGGTCCCCCCAGAGCAGAGCTCAGTCCCTGCCCCTCCTCTGCCCCTGCCCAGGCATTGGAACTGCAGTGAGGTCTCTCCTCAGTCTCCTCCAGCTGAACACAACAAGTGCCCTCAGTGTCCTCACACGGCTTCAAATCAAGGCCCTTCCCCATCCTCGTGGCCTCCTTTGGACACTCTCCAATGGTTTTGTTCCATTGTGTCCCCCCCAAACTGCCCCAATGTTGAGGGGAGGCCGCCCCAGGGCAGAGCAGAGCAGGACAATCCCCTCCCTGATGCCCCCAGGACACGTTGGCCCTCCTGGCTGCCAGGGCACTGCTGACTCAGGAACAACTGGCCATGGACCAGGAGCCCCAGGGCCCTTCCTGCAGCTGCTCTCCAGCCTCTCATCCCCAGACTGTCCAAACATCCGGGGTTGGCCCATCCCAGGGGCAGAATCCGGCACCTCCCCTTGTTGGGCTTCACAGGAGACTGATACAGCTGGACAGTTTGTCCAGAAGGATCCTGGGAGAACCAGGATCAAAACCACTCCATCCACTGGCTGCCCTTGATCAGCCGGGTGGGTCACCTTGTGCTAGGAGGAAATCACGTTGGATTAGCAGGACTTTCCTGTCCTGAGGCCGTGCTGGCTGTGACCAGTGACTGAGTTGTCTTTCAAGTGTTTTCCAATCCCTCCCAGAATAATCTTCTCCATAACTTTCCAAGGCATTGAAGTAACACTGACAGGCCTGGAGAAGGTCCTCCTTCTTGTCCTTCTTGAAAATCAGGACAACATTCCCCAGCTTCCAGTCAGTTGGGACCTCTCTGGATTCCCAAGATCCCTCAAAAATCACTGAGAGAGCTTTAGTGATGACATCAGCAGCTCCTTGAGGATTCTTGGATGAATCCCATCAGGCCCCAGAGATTTGTAGGGATGTGCAGCAGCCTCATCCATTCCACATGCTTTCAATTTCCCAAAGATGCTTTTCAGCCCTGCAAAAGCAATTTTGAAGCAATGGACAATGAAAACCCTTCTGGGTTTCCCTCCTGTGCTGGCAGGGGAAGCCCATCTCAAACAGGCTCCTTCCTCATCCCAAACAAGCTCCTTCCTCAGCCTCTCAAGGCTCCAGCCCTTGAACCCCCTCCTGGGTTTGCTCCATGCCCTTTCCACCACCTCTTCCCTCCCTCTGATCACAGATGGATTAATTACAGCAGGGAAAGTGGCTCTGATTGGCACGTGGAGGAATGTTTGGGATTCATGGGGGATGCATGGTGGGTATTAATGGATCCCCCCCACCTCCAGAGCCAAATGCATTTCCTGGGACATGGTAAAAGGGATAAACATGAAATCAAACCTAATCCCAACGCACCAAAGCGAGGCTTAAAATAGAGTCTAAAGATGAAACTGTGATTAAAAGCCTGTCATCATTAATGGGCCTTGTCTGTTTAGTTGCTGCCTGTTCAGTTTCTGCCTGTTTAGTTTCAAATAATCAAAGTGTCTGTAAAATATCACGAGTCTAAATGTCAGGTTTTGAGAGATTTTGGTTCCTTTATAGCTAAGATGGAGCCTGGAACAAACAGTGATTGACAGACGTGAAATAGTGACAAAAACACACCAGAAATAGTGGCCAGGGGGAGAAGGAAAAACTCAACCCCCCAAAAAACAAGGATTGTACCTGAAAATTAAGGATCAAATTGTTGGCGTGAATTAGCAGGAAGAGTTTGTGGAAACTCATTAGGAGCAATGAAGGTGAAAGTGATGGAAAAGGAGTGGGAAAAACTGAAAAGGAGTGGGAAAAGTAGTGAGAAAGGAAAGGGAAAAGGGAATGGAAAAGGGAAGAGAAAAGAGAAAAGGCAATGGAAAAGGAGGGGGGAAAGGAAAGGAGAAAGAGTGAAAATGGAGTGGGAAAGGTAGTGAGAAAGGAAGGGGAAAAGGGAATGGAAAAGGAGAGGGGAAAGAGTGAAAAAGGAGTGGGAAAAGGAAGGGAAGGGAGTGGAAAGGAGTGGGGAAAGTAGTGAGAAAGGAAGGGGAAAAGGGAGGGGGAAAGGAAATGGAAAAGGAGGGGGGAAGGGGGGAAGGAGGAGGAAAAGGAGGGGGGAAATGAGTGGAAAAGGAGGGGGAAAATAAGGGGAAAGGAGGGGAAAAGGAGTGAAAAAGGAGCAGAAAAGGAGTATTTTTCTCCTGTTTGGAGATGCAGGATTTTGTCTGTGGCCGGGCGGGTTTCCCCCAGGATTCTCTCGCTGTGATTTGGGGTGGGAAAGGGCTGGAAAAGGAGGATGAAAAAGGCTCTGGAAGCTCCTCGGTTTCCTCTCTGCCCTTGTGAGGTGTCAGCTCGGGGCCGGCTGAGCGGCCGCTCGCCCGGGGCGATGGAACAGCTCCTGACAGCGCCAATCCCTCGGGATAACGGGATAACGGCGCGGGCTTTGATGCTGAACGAGCTGAAGGGACGCAAAGAGCGCTTTTTGAGCCCGGTTTTAACCCGGCGTCGTTAGACCCTCCTTGTCAATTAGAGCTGGTTCGTTGGAGGGGGGAGGGAGGTTGTCAGAAATAATCCATCGGGATTTTTATGGCGCTTTTCATCCAGGGATCAAAAAGCGCTTTGTGATGGCGCGCTGAGCTCGGCTTTAATTGGGGGCGGTGCTCTGAGCTCGGGTTTGGTTGGGGGTGCTGCTCTGAGCTCGGGTTTAATTTGGGTGCTGCTCTGAGCTCGGGTTTAGTTGTGGGTGGTACACTGAGCTCGGGTTTAGTTGTGGGTGCTGCTCTGAGCTCGGGTTTAGTTGTGGGTGCTGCTCTGAGCTCGGGTTTAGTTGGGGGTGCTGCTCTGAGCTCGGGTTTA